TTTCTTTGTCAAGAAGAGTTGGTTTGGACACACTTTGAATAATTAGATGGTTCTGACAACGCGGCACGCTGAAATTTGTCAAATTTTTTTGGAACTTTTTTTTTTTGCAATCAGCAGCTTCCAGCAGATACTCAAAAACAACATTTTGTAGTCTTCATTTCGTTAGCCTCTGGTGCAGTTTTTTCAACTTTGCACTCATATCTTCTGATCTCTAGTGTTACTCATCTGCTGTAGCTGTTGGACTGTAGCACAAAAAACGCTTATCACCAACGATTTCCTGCAAAATTACATTTGTTTTAAAGACTTTTAAAGTAGTTTTTGTAGTCGTCAGTAATTTGATATTTTTTATATTTTTGTAGCCTTAAGAACTGCTTGTTGTCTCGATTTTATTATTACTACCAATACGGTGTAAAAGTATTGACACAATTTCTGATGTGGGTTGTCAGCTTGATAATGTCTATAATGCATTTTAATCTTAGAATTCAGCAAGTCTGAATAATTTTTCTCAATTACTGATCTTTGAAACTTAGTAATTTTTAAGAACATCATGTTTACTTCTAAATGCTTTCTTTGTCTGTGTTAACAAACACAGCTTTTAGGAGCTTCTGAAGGTTGAGTAAACCAACAGGACGTTAATCAGCGATTTCTGAATTATTTGTTTCGTTTTGTGACTCTGATTATATATTTGTTGCCACTGAAAATTGAAACTTATAAGACTATGCATTCTCAAAAAAAATTAGCTGAAAATGAATTTAAAAGGCGTGGAAGCAAAGCAACAGGATAAACATATTTCAGTAGTGATCTTCCATCTTAAGCCTCACAAATCCAGCAAATTCCTGCAGTTTTCTTAGTTTATAAAAGTCTAAAAGCAAATAGCCAAAATTTGATCATAAGGCTTTGAAGTTTATTTTGAGTACTTCAGTATAGTGTAATCTGATAAGGCTAAAATTTAAAGAGCATTAGTTGTGATCAACTTTATCATCAGTGGATTTAATTCTAACTTTTCTTGTGCGCTGTTTTGTCGCACTTTATCTGGATTCTGGATAGTTTTGAAAGAGGTAATTTACGAGATACCGGTTCTACGCAGAAATTTATTGATGAAAAAAATATTTATACGTACATAATAATAATGCCTTTTTTTAGTTCAATTATAGTTTAATTTTAGTGATACAGTTGTAATTGTATAAAATAATTTCACACAACACTTTTGCAAAAAAATTTCAAAATTTATTCGTCACAATTATCATATAATACTGTGAAGTTTAGCTTCCTGTTTCAGTTTTTTCATTTCAAATTGCGTTGTTTGTGTAGTTTCTTTTGTTGATCTCTCAGTCGTTTTGACTGGAAAAATAAGCAAAACAAATTTTGAAGTTTTTTATTCTTGCAAAAACCTTGCATTCCCCAGTGATTATCAGTTGGTGATAGCCCAGTCGATCAACTGGTTGTCTTTGCCTGTAATTGATGTATGACAGGATACTTAGAAGTGAGAAGAGACTAGTCATTCTAACAGTCAAGAAGGCTAAACTTTTATCAGTCTCAACAAAATTCAACAAATTATTTTTGGAAGGGACAAAGAGTTAAAATTTCATGAGAATTTAAAGTAGTTCAAAATACGTTCATAAATAAATGCGTATACATTACGCGAAGTTACTTGTCGTCATTTTTTTTTTTTGCAGGTTCATAAACTTCCAGATGCAAAATTACGTAGCGGTAAACTGATTGGACTACAAGGATATGTCCAGACCTATCATTTTCATGTTCACCGTACTGCTGCTGACCAACGAAAGGTTCTTCTTTGCTTTTTTTGCCGTTTTTTACGTTAACAAACTGAAACTTTGATTGTTGACATTTCACTTTACTTCATTTCACCTCACTTCAGTTCACTTCACTTCACTACACTTCACTACACTTCACTAAACTTCGATTCACTTCAATTTGTCTTTTTTTTCTCAATTTTTTTCTTCTTTTTGCCAAAACCAGTGATGTTCTTTACCATTGTTGTTATTTTTTAAAAAATTCAAATTTTAAGGAAAAAAGGGGTGAAAGGAAGAAAGAGCAAGATATTTATACAAAAAATTAATTTTTCGAGTATTCACTTATGAAAAATCAGAAACAGAAAAGAAAAAGATAGATGGAAAAGAAGAAAGAGCAGAGCCAAAACAGCAGAGAGGTAAAAAGAGGTAAGAAAAGGCAGAAAAGATTTTAATTTGTTGTGTTGTTTTTTTTTTCAGATCTTAATTGCTTTATATTCTTGCAACGGTTATATACGCTTAGCAATACATCGTAAAGGACGGCAGATATTCCGTTCTAATTCATTTACCGGTTATCACAGATTTTTGATTACTGATGTTGTTTCCGGTTACATAACCATTGATATCATTAACGATGATGAAAAATCAAAATATTTTCGCATTTGGGCAAGTACAGCACCACAAAAAATACCTTATCCACAACTTCCGGAAGATACCAGGTTACTTGTTTTCACCTGTCTTTGAACAGTGCTTCAACTTATTTTTTTTCACATATTTTTCTTTCAACCCTCATCTCTTCTCCTCTGTCGATTGTCTTCAGTTTTAATCCGCATCTTTCATGACAGGCATTACGAGCCAAATACAAGCAAATAACTTGAAAGGGCTGTCTGTTTTACTGGCAAGTCTATTTCTAAGGTTTGAGAGCGAAGTTAAGGTGATGTGACGTTGTTGTGGTCTGAACTATAGCTTGACGCGTCTGTTACTTGTCAACATATCTTTTCTCATCTACGCTTCCTTGAATTACAGTAAAATTTGAAAAGTTAGTTGGATGCAGAGGTTGATAGCAAATCAATGAATTGCTCTATAATTTTTGTTTTTTTCTTCGCTTAAAAACTGCCCTAATCCAATTTGTTGCAATATTTTCGATGTTGCCTTGGCTAGTGGTGCAGTTTTTGAAATACCACAAATCCCACACATTTGCAAAAATTAAATGTTCGCCCACTTCTTCAGAAAATGACGACAATCAATCACAACAATAATGTGTCTGTTCTCTAACAAAATAGTATTTATCAGCAAAAATTTTTTTTACAAATGACAACATCAACAACAATAACAATACCAACAAAAAAAATTTTTTTTTTGAAATTGCCAATCAAAAATTTAACACCATTATTTTTTTTTTAGTATGTTTAATTTATATGGGTATCAAATTGTTGTTGATTTATTTTAGCATTAAAATAATGAAACGAACATGTTCGTCGGTGACACTTCAGTGGATGAAATCGCATAACACCAAAGTTCGTTATTGCCTGTACAAACGACGTGAAGAAGCAAAATATATCGATGAATTGATCAGCAATAACAGTGATTTTTGTCGTAACGATATTCCAGGCAGTGAACTGGCTGCCTGTCATACAATCTATACAAGACCAGAAGCATTCGTGCTTAAACCGATGTCATCAACGGCAAAAATTTATGATTATGAAGGTGATACATATAATCCAATATTTGAAACAACAGTTACTGGTTTGGAAGCTGGTGCTACATACAATTTTGATCTGTTGGCTCAACCGTTACATCGATCACACACCCAACAGTTACCCTATCGAACAGTTTGGGCACGAACATTGAACTGTTAGAGGGTCCAGTGAATTATATTACAGTTCTGTTCAACAGTTTTCTTTTTTTTCTTCCTTTTTTTTTTT